ATATATAATATATATATTATATATATACTATATATATATATTGTACCATTCCCGTGGATATTATCTTCGCTTCTTAAAATATTTTCGAAAACTAATATTTACAGGTACCATATATGTCATTTGCGGATATCGAAATGTCAAATAAAATTTATTTTCGATTAAAATTATGGTTTATTTTCATTAAATATAGTAAAAAATGTATAAAAAATTAATAACCTTCGGATATTTAATTTTAACTTCTCTTATTGAGTGTTTCTCTCCTGTGATATGTTTGCTTATATTTTATACTATTAAATATAATATTTTTATGATCGTTCCGTAAGCTGCTCGACTAAAGGAAAACGAGAAGATTCCCTTTTTTTAATTGTGAAAGCCCTGCATGCGGAGTGTCACTTTTTTCAGTTCCAGTTCCCCGGACCAATTAGGAAGGGCGGGCACGGTCGCACTTTCATTTGTTTTTAAGTCTCGACGGATTTTTATATCACTAATTAGTTTTCGGGCACGTAGCAGGGCTTTAAGTGGATCTGAAGCTTTTCCGGCCTCTTTTCGCCTTTGCCGTTCGCTGTTTTGCCATTTGTTCGAGATAATTAGAACGATCTGCGCCGTTGACATCGTTTTGGAAATCTCTTCTTGGCTTATCTTTGGAGTAGAAGTTACTAGAGCGGAGAGGTCGAATTATCGATTGTGAAAAAATTGAAATGTTTCGTCGTAAATTTTGTTTTCTGTAATTTTTTCTATCCTAATTTCTAATTTCATCTTGTAGCGTTCTAGTTTCTTAAAGGTTAAACATTTTTGACGGTACTATACCAAGCCACGCCGTTTTATAAGTTCCCATAACATTAACCCGTATTTGTCCCTGAATTATTTATAAAAATACATAATATTGCCGATGACTATGCTTTATTTTAAAGATTCTTACTTTAATCGATTTTGTCTGAGGATACATGTGTTAAAAGTGTGTGAAATCAAGCCGCTATATAAACAACTGCAACCGCTGGACAAAACTTGCATGGGAACTCTCAAAGCATCCTATAGCGAAGAAATCAGGTAATGGTTACGTTATAGTAACAGCGCTGTCTCTCAGTACAATATTGGAGAATTTTTTGGCAAAGCCAAACTAGAGAAATTGCTGTAAATGGATTCCGCGCCACTGGAATTTATCCATTGAATAAGACTGTGTTCTTAGATTCAGATTTTATTGCAGCAGAAATTGAGAGTTACAACCACAGCCATGTAGAACCGCAAGCTATTGAACCTGCTATCATACCAAAAACACCAGAAGCCAGCAACATTAGTGAACCAGATCCTTCTGATTTGTAGAAGTTTGTAAGTCCGCAAACGATTGAACCTAATATCCTACTGAAAACACCAGAAGCCAGCAACATTAGTGAACCAGGTCCTTCTGATTTGCAAAAGTGTGTAAGTCCGCAAGCTATTGAATCTGATATCCTACCAAAAATGCCAGAAGCAAGCAACATCAGTGAACCAGATCCTTCTGGTTTGTGAAGTTTATAAGTGTATTTGAAATATCGCCAGTGCCGTCGATCAGGAAAAAATCTACAAATCGTGATAGAAAATCATCGAAATCAACGATAATAACTTCTGTACCTTACAAGGAAGCATTAGACCAGCAAAACAGCAAAAAGAAATAAATGTACAAGCAGTAAAAGGCATTATCTATTGCGGAAGCATTAGAAGATACGGAATTAAGCATTAAGGTGAACGGCATACCAATTAGCAACCTACGCTATGCGGACGACACAGTGATTATAACTGATAATTTGGAAGATCAGCAGTTATTACTTGATAGGGTGAATAGCATAGGTATAAAATATGACCTCAAAATCAACATTTTGAAAACGTAATATATGGTCATTAGCAGAAACCCTCCAGAAAACCCGATAATATGCAAAGGTGACAATCGTATAAATCGCGTGAAAACTTTTAAATATCGTCACCACATTCAATGACCAATAGGATCCACAACACGAGATAAAAACCCAAATACAAATGGCAAGACAAGCTTTTGTGAAATTCAGACCGCTCCTATGTAATCAACACCTAAACTTCGAAATACGCTACAGAATGGTCAAGTGCTACATATGGTCCATCTTGCTTTATGGCATGGAAACGTGGACTTTGAAAAAAACATCTATCAACAAACTTGAAGCATTTGAAATGTGGTCATTGAGAAGAATGATGCGCATACCTTGGGTGGATAGAGTTCGAAACGATGACTCCCTAATAGAGCCGGTGTGGAAAGAGAACTCTTTGAATTAATTAAAAAACGCAAGATTGGTTACCTTGGGCATATATTGAAAGGAGCAAAATATGAAATACCACAGGTAATCCTACAAGGGAAGATCGAAGGTAGGAGAGGAGCTGGCCGCAAACAATTATCCTGGTTAAGGAATATTAAAGAATGGACAGGAATACACAATGCAGGTGAGCTGTGTCACGCCACCAAGAACAGAATTCTAGTAATGAGATAGTCGACTACGCACTTTGGTGTATGGCATGTTAAGAAGAAGAAGCAGTAAAACGGCTAAGTCTACAAGGGAGGTGACTAAGAAAAAAATTAAAATCAAGTCAGAGGGGCGGCATAAAAAGGAAATCGAAAGATCTTCTGACAACGATAGTAAGCAGTAATTTCAACCAGCTGATGAAGATGTAAATTGTATTTTCTGTGATGGAAAATTTGGTGAGGATTATCGAGGTGAAAAATGGATTCAGTGCCTTATGTGCAACTTGTGGGCACATGTAGATTGTTCTGGTGTAGAAAGAGACGAATATATGTGGGCATATTGTACATAAAAAATTAGCCCATATTTACATCACCTTTCCGTTTTTTTCTTAAATGACACCGTGAGTGTTTTATGACATTACAGAGAAAAATATCTTACTAGGAAGAAAAACGGACTAGCACAAAAGAGCAAAACAATTCTACATGTCAATTATGTAATTTGAACTTTTTCGATGTAGGTAAAGATGGAATTCCAAATAAATTATTGAAATATGGTGGAGAAGTATTAACAGAACAGCTAACAGCGCTAATTAACAAAATCATCAAACATAACAAAATACCTGAAGAGTGGAAGAAAAGCGAGCTTATCCTACTATACAAAAAAGGAGATAAAAAACAACCTGAAAACTACAGAGGTATCAACTTATTAAACACCACTTTGAAGCTTACAACCAAAATATTGCAAGGCCAAATAAATCAGAGAATTACCTTAGCGGATGAACAGCAGGTTTTTGCACAGCAAGATCGTGCACAGATGCAGTATTCATCATAAAACAGATTACCGAGAAAGCACTAGAGTATAACAGACCAGCATTCATATGTCTAATAAACCTGAAGAAAGCGTTCGATAAAGTTAAGCTTAAAGATGTAATTCACCTTCTTTACGATAGAGAAATTCCACTAGATGTTATAAAAACAATAGAGAACATTTACCAGAACAACAATATGGAAGCCAGAATAGATGACCAGCTTACAGATGCAATAGATATGGGCAATGGAATAAGACAAGGAGACTCGCTTAGTCCAACGCTATTCAATCTAATCATGGATGAAATCATCAATACTATTAATAAAGGAAGAGGATACAAAATGGGGAACAAAGAAATCAGAATACTCTGCTATGCAGATGATGCGGCCCTAATTGCATCCAATGAAGACGATCTACAAAGACTAACCCATAGATTCAACACAAGGGCAAAGGACTTTAATATGGTGATATCTACACAGAAAACTAAAACAGTTGTAATCAGTAAAGAACCAATTAGATGTAAACTGGAAATCGACGGTATCAGCATTGAGCAAGTAATGGAGACAAATTACCTAGGAATTACACTGTCTAGCTACGGAGATGTGGAGAAGGAAGTGAAAAATCAAGTACAAAAGGCTAATAAAATAGCAAGTTGTCTTAATAACACGATATGGCGCAATACCCACATTAATACCGACGTGAAATCAAGAATCTACAAATTAACAATAAGACCAATAATAACATACACTTTAGAGACAAGACCGGATACCTCCAAAACTCAGCAACTACTAGAAACAGCGGAGATGCGTTTACTGAGGAGAATTACAGGAAACACACTAAGGGATCGAATGAGGAGTGAAGAGATCAGAAGAAAATGCAATATACCAGAAATAAATGAGTAGACACTGAACAGAAAAAAGGAATGGAACGAACACATAAACAGAATGGAAGAGACCCGATTAGTCAGAATAGCGAGGGACAAATCACCAAAAGGTAGAAGAAGTATCGGGCAACCACGCAAAAGATGGAGTGATAACCTCCAATAGAGGCATTAATCGACATTGAACAAGCATTTTGCTTATAAAAAAGAAGAAGAAGAAGAACTTTTTCGATCAAAAAATAGTCAAGATATCAGCAATAAACAAAATGGTAGCCCATCTTCTCGTCTATATGTGTAATTTTGTTTGTCTTATTTTATTAATTATGAACTAAAAAGCTTTTTCAATTTTTTTAAAAACGATTATAGTCCGAAGTATTTTATTTATCAGTTTTTTTGGAAATTTTGAGTAATAACTAAATTAATTTACAGATTATATCATTTGCAATGTGTTTAAAGACTGTAATCTGTTTAGCGATAAGTTTATTGAAAATAATATATGTCCTTTTATATTTTTGTTTCTAGGTTATTATTTTATTGTAGGTATAACTTTATTATTATATAGGTAAGTAAGTTAATGTTGATTTAAAGTTTGAATAGTTTAATTTGAGTCGTTTATAAGTCTCAGGTTTATGGAGTCATCCATTTTGGAGTTTCTAGAATTCAGTATCTGTTGATTTTTTTGTCAAATCGATAATCATATCCTTACGCGCCTCAATGAAGTTTTTGATTCTGAACAACGAAGCCTCTGCAACCATTGTAATCTATAAATATTCACGACACTGAACGGTGAACGACAATAGTTTTATGTGTTTTAAAACTGAGATTAAAATAGCTTAATAAAGACTTACCCGTATGGATATAGGTGTGCTTTTTCATATCAGACTTCTGATGGAACCTCTTGCCGCAATACTGGCAAGGGTAAGGCCTCGTATCAGAATGTATCAGCAAGTGCGTCGATAACGTCGAAGATCTTTTGAAAGACTTCCCACATTGTTTGCACTCGAAAACTTTTTCCACGTTATGAACAGCCCTGGAAAATTATATTTTACTTGTTTTTGGAATTTCATTATCAGAAAAATGATTATAATATATGGTAAACATTTTTTCTTAATTTTACGAAAAGAAGTTATTCATTACGGACTGGGGTGCGAACTGTAGAACTCTATTCATATTATATAAAAATCTGATCCACTCCAAGATCGATTATGGACACCACGCTTCCTTATCTGCTTCAACAACAACTCTAAAAGTTTTAGACACCATTCAAAATAATGCTCTTAGAATTATAAGCGGTGCATATAGAACAACCCCTATCTTAAGTCTTCAGGCCGAACCCGGTGAACTACCATTAGATTTAAGAAGACACTAATCAATGCTCCCATATGTATCGAAGCGGTACTCTTTACAGTATCACCAAACTATTCCCTTTTACGAAAAATGCAGACAAATAATAAATGATTTAAAGCTTAAAGTCCTCGAAATCTATCCTAGCAAGATGCCAACTTCCGCTCCTTGGCTAATATTTTCTCCTCATATAAAATTGGATCTATTATCAGAAAATAAGAAAAAAATCAATCGCCATCTAATTAATTCTAAATATCAAACCTTAATTTCTAAATTTTATTTCTTCAAACAGTTATTCACAGATGTATCTAAAACAGAGCGTTGTGTAGCATCTGACTTTGTAACAGAGGATGAAGTAAAGAAATATAAACTAGTGGAGACTAATACTATTTTAACAGGAGAACTCTGCAATATATAAAACCATATGTCATGTTACAAAATGTCCTGAAATTAACTATTTAATAACTACTGACTTACTAAGTTCTCTAGAAATCATCTCAAAAATCTTTTCTTCCGGTCCTGTGGCCAAAATCATTAGATACAACTATTGAGTTCTATCCAAAAACTCCAGTGACAGATCTGAAATCATATTTCCACAGCAAAATAGTTAACATATGGAATAGCAGATGGCACAAACAACAGGCAAAATTACTTGAGATAAAACCAATATTTCAACCAAGGTCTGATAGTTCCACCGATCGTTTTTCTCAGGTTATCATCACACGACTGCGGCTTGGTTATAGTCGCCATACGCATGGATATCTGATGACAAGATGACAATCTTTCTTTCTTGAAACTGGCGACCAAGAAATAGCGGATGAACTACTGTACAGCCTAAAAGCCGCTAGAAGCCAAAAGTGGACCGAAACAGTAGCAAGTCTAAACTTCCATAAATCAAGCAGGCAGGCATGGTCATTACTAAGAAAATTAGGGAGTGGTGTCCATACAAAACGCCGAGAGGTGTGCCAAAGTGTGCCATTCTTAAAGTGCGGTGCCAAAGTGATTATCCGATATCTAAATGCAATAAACTATTTATACAAAATTTAATTGTTACGCTATTCAAATATTGTTAATACTTTTTCATCTTACGCTAATAGCCTTACTGGCTTATGCGAGTTTGTAAATAAGAAATTTATTCACTAATAAATTAAACGAAAAAAGAAGAAGTTACCAGATATCAAATTTTATCGGTATTAAACAAGGTATGTCAAAAAAACCGAAGGCCTCCTAATTATTTAATAAGCACTTTTTTGGAGGTGAATGTTCTATGATCTATGTATTTCAAATATTCTCTTAAAAAAAACACTAAGAACAAAACATGAGAATTTAAAATGACATAGATGCAATATTTTTTACATTTAACCAATTTAATTGAAAAAAATTTCCTTTGCTTACCTGTGCTGACTTAAGCTGATCTCGTGTCCAAAAGTTTTATTACAAAGTTCACAGGCGAAAGGTCTTTTACCGTTGTGTGATCTCCTAGCATGTACTTCAAGACCGTGCGGTGTGGAAAACATCTTTTCGCACTTTATGCACGAGTAAACATCCCCTATGGGCATCAAACCTGGTCGCATAAGGAAGTGGTGGTGGTGAGGATGAACTCCAGAAGGGTTATTCATCAGGTGGTGCCTTAATCTATAGAGTTCTTCGGCCGTTGGAGGAGCTGGATAACTACCGGGTTGAGATTGTCCCGAGGCCATCGCTGCTGCCATCGCGCTGAAGTACAAGGAGGTGGGATTCGGCAGAAAACTTCTTTCTTCTCCGTCTTTTTGTGGGTATATATTGGAGGGGAAGAACCCCGAAGGAACTAAATGCCTCGGTAGAAATTGGGAGGTGTATTCTTGCGCTGATTTTAATTGGGCGTCTTTAACGAAATCCATAAACGGGGGATAGAAATATGATTTGGTAACTGAGATCGTTTCTTGAACACATCTATTGTCTACTTTTTTTGGGTTATCCGGTCGTAAAAGAGCACTCACTGAAAAGGCTTCGGATTTTTTACTGGAAGGATCGATTTTTTGAATTTCGGTCACTGATGACGGCCTAGGAAAAGGAGAATTCGATCTAGAGTGTACCGGAGAATCCACCTCCAGTTCGGGGGAAGTACTAGGCGAAGGTCTCGGTGAGGAATGTTGCTCCCACCTTTGGTTGCTATATTTAGGGGATGAGCGCTCATCGCCGCTATAATAACTGCCCTCTCTTTGGTAAGGTTTGGAATTGTTGTTATTATTTCCGTGGTCTTCTTCGTCATCTGATTTCGATACTAATCTGCTAATACCAAATTTGATGGGCTCTGAAACAAAATAATTTATAAATACTCAATGCCTAACGAACTTCGTCAGAAAATTATATAAATAAACGTACAAATTAAAATACATAACAAACAACCTTGACTGATTTTGGACACAAAAAAATTATGAAAGAAAAGATTTTATAAAGTCAAACTTTATTTGGTATTGAGAAAGTGAATAATTATTGTAATTGTATATTCCTTCATCGTGTCTGTTTATAGGACAACAGTTTATTACAAAATTATTTGCTATCTGTAATAGATAAGGTAATTAATTTAAAATTTCGATCTCCTTCCTTACTTCGTAATTATCGAGTCTGTCATAGTCTGTCAAGCCTGAGAACCTGAGAACATCATAGAAAAAATTCTTTTTTGTAGTATTTAAAATTACTTCTTTTTTGGAATTATTCCAGATTTTGGTGCGAATAAATCTTTATCTTTAAACGAAAAGAAAACGAATGCAACCTGTCAAACTGAATGAACTCAAATAACAGAAAAATGCGAAGATGATAACAGGCCAAATTTGCAAGTTTTGTTTATTGTATCTTCAGTATTTTGTATGTACAGTTTGAATCTTATTTGGCAATTAAAGGAATTATTTGTTTCTTTTTTATTATAATTTTTGAGTTTATAATTCATTACGATTTTTTCTTAAAAGCAAAAAGTTTAGGCATGAGTTCTCCATTTGCGTTGACATGGTTTTCATTAAATCTTTGTTTTACTCCTCATATTTATTTAATATTTTGTATTATATTAATATTGATTTTGATAAATAAATTTCGGTATTATTTGTTTCTGAAAGTTGCTGCTTTCCTAGTGTACATTTATACTGTATTAAAAACATATTACAAGAAAAATCCTTTAACCTACATCCTTTCCGTTCAGCTAACAACAACAAATCCCTAATTAGGAAACATAAAAAGCAAAAAAATACAAACGTACAACCCCGTAATCCCTTTGAGGCGTGTAATAAAGGGATTAAGATTTTTCTCTAACCCTTCATTCTCGAACTCAACTAATCTTAAAATGATAGCGTTCACCGCCATGCACTTTGCATTCAAAAGAGATAATAATGGACACACTCCTGTCTCTGTATTTAACATTTTATTTATTCTCATGAATAATTTCGTTCGCGAAGTCTTTGATTCCGATTCAGCGAGGAATTAGGCGAAGATTAGGTTAGATTATTATATGGTGGGACTCTTGCTACAAAACCTCTGCTAACAATGAAACGGTTTTATTTGATGATCATAATTGAGCAGCGATCATTTTAACACTAGCAGATCCTTTTTCTATGTATTAGGTAAAATATCGGAGGGTATTTTTTTAATACTAATATAACCAAAATTAAACCAACTAAACTTCAATTTATTTATACTATTTATTTAGAAGTTTCTTCGACCAAAAATTTTTCTTTCTAGAAACATCGATTTAACAGAAAAGATTTTCAAATATCTACTCGAACTATCAAGTAGCTTCATCGATTTTATTGGGATCATTTTCTAGTTACGAATTGATCCTTGCAGAAACTTCTACAGTTTTTTTAGAAAATGTTTTTATCATCTCCATAATTGATTTGTTTGCGGTGTCTAATTTGAATGTCTCTGTTCTTCAAGGACTTTTTTGTAACCACTGAAATCTTCATGACAGTCCTGTAATTCTTCACGCAATTGCTTCGAGGTAAAATGTTTTAGTAGGATCGTCTATTGAATACGCGAAGTGTTAGAAATTCTTTTTTAAAGACTTTAGCAGTAATAACAAAACTAAAATTAAAGTGAAGAAAGCTGCTCTTTCAGCTTACTAAAGCCCACGAAGATTTTTTCATCCTTCTCGTGACCTGAGCTTTCCTCCTTTGCCAGTACATTTTCATTTTAATTAAATGATCTTCCCTTTCTTGTAAACTCTTGTTAGCAAAGGGATGAGCTTGAGTAGAGAGAAGAATAATGTTCTTAGTAGATTTGACCTTATTTCTGAGATCTTGACAATCATAGTCATCAGATTGAATTTATGCCTGTTGCAAAATTATTTAACCTGGCTTGCTCATTTTGAATAAAATAATAATATTGATATTGAAAAATGAATGCGATGTGTTTCGTTCGTTTCAGACAACCATAAAATATCATTCTCCGTTTTCTTATGTTGGTAACAATGTCCTTTAAGCCTGTCTTAGGCGGAATTCTTCATTTTTTTAAATTGGTCCTAAGATTCTTCTCAAAATTTTCCTATATTTTGTTTAAAGTTTTCGTAATGGCACTTTTTTGACCATATTAAAACATTTGGATGCATACAGTGTTAATTGCCTCATCATTTTATTATGATCTAAGTTTAAAGATAAGCTTTTGTTTTTGTACTGGTATTTGCACAGATGGATTGTTTTTTCTAATTTTGAACATCTACTTTCAATGGTAGCATTATCTCATCCATCAGGTGTAATAAACTCCAAGGTATTTAAACCTTTTTTACTGTTTGACTTTTTTGTTGTATTTCCATATACAAGAATACATTTTTTATGTTTGTAATAAATTCAGTTCCATTGACGTTAGAAGGTAAAAGAGCCAGATCATCGTAATGATTCTAATAGTTAAATACCAATAATAGTAAAATAATAATAATAATAATAATAATGATAAAATACTAATAATAAAATAGTGATACTAAACAGAACTTTGAGAACTACTTGAGAATGACAACTACAAGTGATACTGAGACCACACTGTGCTCACAGACCAAAGAGTGGCACATAATAGACCAGATCTCGTATTAGTTAATAAACTAAAGAGACAAACAACATTAATTGATGTGGCGATACCCAACAACAATAATCTTCGTGTTAAACAGAACGAAAAAATCGGCAAATATAGGGATCTGGATATTCAAATACGAAGACAGTGGAGAATGGAAAGTCCCAGACAATATCTATTATTCTCTCTACTACTACAGTAATTCCAAAGAACCTTCTAGAAAACATAAAAAAAGTCAGTTCTAAATGAACATCTCTACAAGACTTTACAGAAAGCTGTATTACTCTCAACGTCTAGATTAGTAGTACGAACATTTTTGGGAGATACTCCAGCATACCAAGTCAACCAGCGCTTGATAATACAGAAAGAGTTCCACCAGAGCTCAATTAAGCAAAAATGGCAAGATATTTTGCCTTTTGCAAGCAAGGAATGTAAAGACCATAGGATTATTAGCCTGATGAATCATATGTTGAAGCTTTTCCTACGAGTAATACACAATAGAGTATACAATAAACTAGACGAACACACTGGTCAAACTCAGTTTGGTTTTAAGAATGGGTTCGGAACAAGAAAAGCACTTTTTTTAATACGTGTGCTAGTTGAAAGATGTAGAGATGTCGATTCTGATGTATACTTGTGTTTTATAGACTTTTAGAAGGCGTTTGACCTGGTGAAACATGATAAACTAATAGATATTTTAAGGTCATGTAATATCGACGATAATGACTTAAGGATCATTTCAAACTTCTACCAAGAACATAAGGCTAAAATTAGAATAAAAAGCGAAACATCTGGAAAAATCAATATCGAGAAGAGAGTAAGACAGGGACGTGTCCTATGATCTTTGCTGTTCAATGTTTACTTTGTGCAGAAATTGCAACTCCACCGTATTCCTTTTTGAAGATAAGGATGAGGAATTTACTTCCATAGGTTATCCAATATAGTTGTGAAAGTTTAGCACTCACAGCCGTAGAGAATAATTGGCGCAGTATTGACATTCGAAGTAATATATCTAGATCCCGCCTTATGAAGACATTTTTCTTGAAATTGGTAATGTGTTTAGATTGAAACAATTTTTTTTAATTCTGAACTACTCTTTTAATCTTTTTATTTGCTCTTTCTTATTTTGCAAGTGATTAACTGCTTAATATTCCAAATACTGACATACGGATGTGAATCTTGGACGCTACGACAAGCGGAAAGAAGAAAGATAGACGCCGCTTATATTCTGTTGGAGGAGAATGTTACGAAGTTTGTGGATCGACCACACGACAAATAATTCAATTCTAAATAAACCAAAAATCAGCAAACGCCTATCCAGCACAGTTCATCACCAACAATTAAAATACTTTGGACATGTTGAGATGTATTGCAAAATCTTATAAACTATTATTTAGGATATGATAATCATTGTGAAACACAATAATTAATATTCGATGTCTAGTTCTATCATGCCTACCCCTTGAAACCGTATCCGAAGCAAAACAGTAATTTCGTCAAATAAATCTAATCATCAAAGGGGTGTCGCCGAAAAAATAATTCCGATAAAGCCATTTAAACATATTAGTTTGTTTCCGAACATTTCCCCGGAGAGGAGCAGTTAATAATATATTCTTTTGATAGTTTCACGAATCATTAGCTAGCGACCGAATAGTTTAACGGGGGCTAATTCTTGAGGGGGCAGCCACCCCTACACCGCTGTTCTTGTAAATAGAGCCCCATTCATTTATTCCGATAAAGGCGCGCTACATAAAGAATGAGAGTGTAATGTGGACAAGGGGTGGCTTTTGAATATTTCATGACCTCTGCAGTGACAGCTGTTCCTCTGTATCAGCACTATTTGAGCAATACGACAGAGGCGCCCAGCCAAAGGTATCAGAATAAACAAACAAAAATGCGGCAATAAATTTCTCGTCCGAATAATATATAGAGAGTAATTTCTACGGGTTTTTATGTTTCTGTCGTTTTTTTGTATCCATTTGTGACAAGCTATTATTTTGATGTCATCAGTCCACCTGTTTTGAGGTCTGCTCTGGTTGTCTTATGTTTTCTTGCTCGCCATTTAACAATCAACGTGTAAAGCAATGCGCAATATTTTCAAAACTTTGTCACCTCAACTCCAATTTTTTGTCGATCCAACCAGGTAATGCAGCAAACCTAAAATGCCGATATAGTTTAGTGTTCCAGTAAAATTTCAGCAATGAGTTAATAAAGCAATGTAACAATGTGATTCATAAATTCATATAAGGATCAATACTGCTT